TTCGTCTTGCGAAGCGCCTCCGCAACGGAAAACCCTTTCGTCTTGCGGGTTTTTTGTCTTGCGAGGCATTCGTCTTGTGGGGCACCACTGTAATCCGTTCCGCGAGTCTCTTCGTCTAGCGGTTTTTTCGTCTTGCGAAGCAACCCTATTAGCGGCTTAGCGGATTAGCACTATTAGCGGCTTAGCGGCTATTAAAGTCTTAGCGACTTAGCGGCTAAAAGGCTATTAGCGGCTTAGCGGCTTAGAAAAAGGGGGAAAAAGCGAAAAAAATCGCAAGACTCGCAAGACGTTTTCTTCTTGCGAAGCAAGCCCATAGGGAAATTCGTCATGCGAAGCAACTAAAAAACAGAAAACCCTTTCGTCTAGCGGGTTTTTTGTATTGCGAGGCATTCGTCTTGCGGGGCACCACTGTATGTCTATGAATTGTACAGTGGTGCCCTGCAAGACGAATGCCTCGCAAGACGAAAAACTCGCAAGACGAAAGAGTTTTCCGTTTTTTGAGTCGTTCCGCAAGACGAATTTCCCTGTGGGCTTGCTTCGCAAGACGGAACGTCTTGCGAGTTCTTGCGAGTTCGTTTCCTTTTTCTTAAAGCCGCTAAGACACTAAGCCGTTAATAGCCGCTAAGCCGTTAATAGCCGCTAAGCCGCTAATAGCCGTGCTTCGCAAGATGAAAAAACCGCAAGACGAAGAGACTCGCGGAACGGATTAATTTCGTCTTGCGAGGCACCACTGTACTACACTGTACTACAATTTGATATATGAGAAAATTAGAACATACAAAGAGCCCTTCTGAATCAGATCAGAAGCCAATTCAGTCCAGCATCCTGCTCTCAGATCATAGATGCCCCCATCCCATAGATGCCCCCATCCCATAGATGTCCATGGGAAGGCCATAAGCACCAAAGCAGTCTCCCTATTAGCAGATCCCTAACAACTGGTAATCAGAGACATACTGCATCTGATTCTGGAGGTAACATAGCCATCATGACTAGGAGTCCCTTGATAGCCTCATCCTTCGTTAATTTGTCAAATCACCCTTTAAAGCTGTGGGTGGCCAACACTACATATTCTCATTTGGGATCATTCCTTCCATGCTTGGTAGCCTCATCCACATTGTCGAGGACTTGCTTCTCCAGAGAGGAGAATTCCAGCAGAACAAGGAGGAGGATGGGATGGAAAACCTCTGTCTGAGGATCCAAGCCTATGTTTGCTTTTCCTGTTTGTGGTTGTCGTTGTTGTCAAGACAATGACGTCACAATGGCTTGAAATTTGGATCTGAAAGCACATGCACATAGGCTATCTTGGTCATTTACAATGCATATATGTATAATGCTTGCTTGTTTATGTTGTGGGTAAACTTAATTTTATGCTGCACAAAAAAGAAAGCTCCCTGTTTCTTCCTCTTTCGCAACAACCTCTGAGACATTGTGTGTGTGTGTGTGTGTGTGTGTGTGTATGAGAGAGAGAGAGAGAAAGAGAGAGAGAGAGAGAAGAGAGAGAGAGAGAGAGAAACATAAACTATGAACAAAACAGTGATATACAATAAACGGACTCTGTCTCTTTCCCCCCTGCCCAACTTTTAGGTGAGTTATGGCACACATTAAAAAGTAATCTGAAGAATTCTGTGCTGTTTCAGTCTCTGTCCAGGAAATTGGTTGAACTTCAAGGAATGATATATGTAGCATAAAGTCTTATCCTCAAACTACAGCAGCACTGGTTTGTTGCTATTGGGCTGCGGGCATATATTGTATGTCAGAGGGCCCATGGCTCAGGGTAAAAGCCTAGATTCAATCCCTGTGATATTTTCCAAGTAGTAATACTCTGGTTTCTCCTCAGATCGTATAGATCTTTCGCCTTTAACTAAAGATATTTTCCAAGTAGTGCATCCCAAGAGAAGGTCTCTGCCTGATTCCTTGGAAAGCTGACGTGAATTAAGAATAGTGGAGTGGTGTCATCTAGATACTGTTGGTCTACTCTACATCTTCAATTAGCTTCAGCTAGCATGGCCAACGGTTAGGGATGATGGGAGCTGTTAATCTAGCAACATCAAGAGGGTACCATGTTGGTTGCCCCTGGATTAGATGTACCAGTGGTAAGGCTCAGCAGAAGCCGCTGAGGATGCACACGTGTCTAAACACTACCCTGGAGATCCTCAGGTTGCCAGGTACGTTTGGGTTTGGTAGAAGGACACATATACAGGTCTGAGGTCCCAACTCTGTGGCAGCATAAATTCAGAGACCAGTATCAATGGTTAAAGCACCAGGGGATAGCAAGTGGATGTCGGAGGATGGAGAACAAGCAGACAGTGGGGATGGCGAACCCTTCACCCTGCCATTTGTTGTTGGGATACAGCTCACATCATCCCTGCTGACTGGGGTTCCTTGGGAATTGGACCTTCCAACAACATCTGAAGGTCCGCAGCTTCTGCATCCCTGATCTAGGTGCATGTGCTTGCAGATCCAAATATATATATATTTGTCCCATCCTCAAATGATACAACTGCTTGTATATCAAGGCAAGGCATCATGAGAAAAAGAATTCGTGCCACAACCACCAATACATTTACATCCTATCCCTCCATGTACACTGCTTTATTTGAATGTCTTTAAATGGCTATGGTTTGCCTTTTTGTTCGATTTTCCTCCCGTCTCATTTGGTTAAAAAGAAGAAAGCATGCTTTAGAAAAAAATGTAGGCTATGAGATAGACGGCAGTAATTTTTCTTGTGTGAAAAGTAGTCAGATGTAACCATTTAATTAATCTTTAGCTCAATACAGCCACCTCTCTCACATTTGAAAATGGTGTTTAATAATTGCATTATTTTAGTCATAATTTTGTGAAAAGATAAAGCAGATTACCATTTGGAAGCCAGGAAGTGACCTGTGAGATAAGGAAATGTAAGGACTTTCTACTTAAAAATCACTACATGTTTCAACTGAATAAAAAAGCACCAAAACTGTACTTAGCAATAAAAAGGCATAAAAAGATGAAGCTGCTTAATGATTAAACCAGGTGACGAGCAACTTTATTCTCATTAAAATTACTTGAAGTTTATGTAATTAATTCAAATTATGAGAAACAAATTAGTGTCACATTATTATAATCTAACTTGTACACTACTTAGATGCCAATACCCACACGCACACATAATTAAAATACATTTTCTAGAGTTAAAATTATGCATGCCATTTTTATATAGCTTTCCTCTTAAAACTAAATTAATCAAACCTCAGAGGCCTGAAGGCTATAAATTTTTATTCTTTGTCATGAAAGGCAAATATCCTAGGATCACTTTATGGTCTAAAAATAACATAAAGGTCTCTCAGAGTGGAATATAATCAATGAAACAAAAGACAGCAGGATTCAATATGATCATCTTTCCAGACTTTATCTGTTTGGTCCAGTCACTCCTCATAAGCCCTGTACAAATTTTAAAAGCATATCTCTCTTGCAACATGGTGACGAGGCCTTTGTACAACACCAGACCCTCCAAGTGTCCCTATTTTCCAGGGACATCCCTGATTTAGAGAAGCCGTCCCGGTTTCTGATTTGATCCTGGAATGTCCCACTTTTCCTTAGGATGTCCCTATTTTCATTGGAGAAATGTTGGAGGGTATGGAGTTATCTGACCCCCAAGCCATCTGAAGGCAGACCTGTACAGAGGTTTTTTTTAATGTTTAATGTTTTATTATGTTTTTTATATATGTTGGAAGCTGCCCAGAGTGGCTGGGGCAACCGAATAAGATGTGTGGGGTATAAACAGTAACATTATCATTATGGAATGGGACATCCCTATTTTCATTGGAGAAATGTTGGAGGGTATGCAACACACCCTTTAAATCCCCTTGCTTTCCCCCCATTTCAGATTCCTCCATCTTCTGCAGCATGTGAAAGAAACTAGTCTATGTTTGGGAAGACACCAAATCAAGAAATAATCTGACATGTGGAAGGGTAGATCAGAGCTGGGGAAACTTTGGCGCTCCAGATGTTGCTGAACTATGACTTTGCGTCAGCTCCAGCAAGAATGGTCAGTGACCAAGGATGACAGGAGCTTTAGTTCAGCAGCCTTTGGAGGACCAAAGGTTCCCCACAGCTGGGGTGGAGAAACATATTTCAATCTGGGCAAATCTTCAGAAGTCTTGGATAAATGTGATGCAGCAGAAGAAACAGAAACTGATAATGATAGCTTGGAAAACTAAAGGGATTAAATTTCATGTACTATTCCTTGAGTCTAGGTCTCCCCCATGATTTTTCTCAGCTCTTTTAATGGAAATGATTGCTTTATGTCTGCTTGACATTGTAGAGGACTGGAAGAGACATACCAATTTCAAGAATATACAATAATTTGTGTACTATAATGCTGATGGCTAATTCCATTTTTATAGGGTTTTTTTTTTGCCTTTTCCTCATAAACTGGCAAAACCAAAGAGACAGTTTGGCAGTTCTAGAATTCTTCTGTTGAGGAACACCGGTAAACCTAGTACATGCCTTGGTGACATCTAAATGAAATCCACGACTTACTGCGTACCAAATTACTGTTACAATCCAGCAGAAGTTTGCTACGGCTAAGCCCCTTGAAATCTAATTAGATGAGTCTAATTCCTAGGACATTGTTTTCAATAGCTACTTTTTGCCCACTTGTAGTTTTTAGAGAGATTTGATGGATTGTAGATGTATGAATGACTCTTGCATCTGTAAAACTCTGTGAAGGAGTCATGGATCCTCCTCCTCTTTAGATTTAATGTGAAATGTGCATTGCCTTCAGCATTTTTGGAAAATATAGGTGATATCGAGTCAAACCCAGAGTAAACCAGTTGAAACCAATGGATTTTATCTACTACATTGATTTCAATGAGTTTACTCTGGCTAACAATGGATATTGATTATGTGATTAATAATACCTTGGGTCTGAAAGTTACTATGTGTATTTGTGGCTGATTAATTAATTTAAAATTTCAGCAAGAAAGTGATGTTTCTTCAATTATCTTTTCTTGTTTCAGGTTGGGTTTTCCCATGATGATTATGAGCTGCATCATTGGAATGTGCTATCTCCTTGTTGCTCACGTTGTATTGGGTTGGACCTAAGAATGTATATATTGATTATATATACTGAAGACCAAAAGACATTTTTCATTCTTTTCCAATCTCTCTGTTGCATTTTTACAAGGCTGTATGAAAACAAAAAGCTTTTATTTGGGGGGCGGGGGGAGTGGAATCATTCATGCTGCTACTCCTGTCCAGCTTTCTGTTATGAACATGGGAATTCATCTGATGCCTATATGGAATTTCTCCACTTGGAAATGATGCCCACATTCATTTCAGTTGAGAGAACCAATTTCTGTGCACATTATTTTGTGTGTGTGTGTGTGTGTGTGTGTGTGTGTGTGAATTGCCTACCTCTGCTGGAATATTGACAGGGACCATTGTGAATGCAAGAGAGATATGTGCTCATATCTAATGCACAGGAAGCTCTGGGCCACAGCTGTATTCAATAACTGGCAGCTAAACAGCTGAGACACAAAATCAAAAACATCTCATAATGCACATTTTGATGGGCTGTACCATTTTAGATTAAAGGTGGAAGAATTGTGTGAATGCCATACAGAATGGAAGCTAGTGTGTCAAGAGAAAAAGCGAAGAGTTAGATCCTTACTTATTAGTTTTATATATGAAAAAGCATTCAAATGTGAATCCCCCCCTGCAGTCTAAAATTGTATAGCAGAGGGAAAAATGCACCATGTGACCCTTTAGATAATGTGCTTCCATCCTTAACTGACGTCATTGTGGGCTTATGTTCTTTGACCAGCTTATAGAGCAGAATATTGTGATTTAAGATGCACAAATGGTCTTATGGTGGAACCAAATTTCTTTAGGTTCATTTTTCAGCTCGAAAGTAGTGATTTTGCTGAGGATGAGTCCTCCCAGATCTTTAATCCTATTATTATTATTATTATTATTATTATTATTATTATTATTATTATTAGAAGCTTGCCTGATACTCCTCAGAGGTCCTTTGCTTTGCTCCCACTTCAGTGGACTTTTTAAGGAAACAACTCCTGGTAGGATTCAACAGAGTTGTTTCATGTGCAGAACAATGTCAGCTCATGCAATGAGATTCCAGCCCCTCCTTCCTCCCATGCCTTCTAAATCTGTTCTGGAGAGTTAGGGGAACCCCCCAGAACAGTTTTAAGAGGAGAACAGGAGTAGTAGAAGGGGGAAAGTGCCATTGCATGAGTAGACCTTGTTCTCCATGCACATAACCCACTTGAGTTCCACCCTGTTTCATTCTTACTTGAGACCATACAATGGGCACAATGACATCAGAATACCAGGTAGTTAATCAGATTTGACTATTTGCTGTAACCAATAATAGTTTTAAATAAAGACAATTAAATAAAGACAATTATTGCCCAAGAAGGTAGAACCCCAAACCAGTAGGTTCAAATGAGGAGAGGATATTGTTACTAAACATTTTTTTAAAACAAAAACAAAAACCAGAGTCTCTGTTAGTATGAGTTGTTTGGATACTGGAACAGACTTCCTCAGAAAATGGTACACTTGGCTCCATTGTAAGTTTTTAAGCGGTGGTTTTAACAATGAAATTTGAACATACGTCCTGCATCAGCAGATGGTTGGACCTTTGTTGTCCTGTCCAACTCTGTGATTCTTTGAAAATGAACACTTTTACAGCCCCTTAGCAATGATTCACCAGAAACTGCAGAAAGCGGGAGACTTCTTTCAATTCCGATAATGATCCTTGTGAAAGTGGTGTCCCTTTTTAGCTCAGCCCTAATTAATATCCAAATAAATGCTTTTTGAGATATGAGTATTCACAAGGGACTATATTTTTTATCCTAAAATTATGTTTGCTATGGTCTGCATGTACTCACAGATGAAAACCTCACTTGCTATGTTCAGTAGTTTTTCTTTTGGTTGTCAATTTGCCTGTCGATATATTCTCTAATTGTATGAAAGCACCTGATATCTGCCAGTGTTTGCTTTAGTAGATAAGTAAATAGGCAAACTGCATAATGAATGATACATCATTGTCTGTGTTTTAAAAGAAACACATCCAAAGGAAGATTTGGAGTGGAAACAATAATCCGTTTTAATCTGGCTCATGGTTATCTGCAACTAAGTATTTTCATGGGAAATATTATCATTCGACACTTAGACGGGTTTATATAAATTAAATGAGGATAAATTAGTCTGTTAGGTAAATTTCAGAACTGTTTACCTATGTGGGGGATACAGTGATTTCAGTATTTTTGGTAGTAGTCAAGGATATGTACATACTTGCTTTTTGGTGTTGCTAATCAGTGCTGTTGAAGAACAGCAGTAGGGCAGATTCATTTCCCACTATCTGAGTGCAATCTTATGGGTAATGTGATTGCAAATATAGAACCAGGGCAGCTATAGAGAGAATGAGTGCATCTGGAATAAAAGAACATCTTCTTGTAAATACTTCCCAATATTTGGAAAAGCTTGCCATCTCCTTTTCTAACTGCCACAATTCAAAGAAGGAGTAAGGTGCCAATCCTGAGGTAAGCTGCTGTTCTTTTTTTGTAATACCACAATAAAACAGTATTCAGCATGTGTAGTTTTGCCCTACATATACCTAGTCCTCCTTTGGACTGTGCCCAGAGGCTTTTAACAGCTGTATGATAGGGAGAAATTGAGGGGACGCAGGTGGCGCTGTGGTCCAAACCGCTGAGCCTCTTGGGCTTGCCAATCAGAAGGTCGGAACTTCGAATCTGCATGACGAGGTGAGCTCTGTCCCAGCTCCTGCCAACGTAGCAGTTCGAAAGCATGCCAGTGCAAGCAGATAAATAGGTACCACTGCAGTGGGAAGGTAAATGGCGTTTCCGTGCGCTCTGGTTTCCGTCACAGTGTTCTGTTGCACCAGAAGCAGTTTAGTCATGCTAGCCACATGACCCAGAAAGCTGTCTGTGGACAAACGCCGGCTCCCTCGACCTGAAAGCGAGATGAGCGCTGCAACCCCATAGTCGCCTTTGACAGGACTTAACCGTCCAGAGGTCATTTACCTTTTTAACCTTTACGTAGGGAGAAATCCAAAGTACACAACATGTGGCACCCTGAGATGAAAAGCTCTGTGTATGAAGAATAAAGAACTAGCAAACGTAATTTCTTTTAATAAGGATTCTACTGCAATCTGTTGGTTATTAAACCATTTTATAAAAGAGATACTACCTCAACAGCGAAATTATGAATTGTCTATGCTTTGGTATCTTTTACTATCATGCTGTGACAAACACACACACAATGGCTGCTCGAAGAAATCAAGTAGATTACTGTCTGTTAAGGCCCTTGATTATGGGAGGGGTAGCCAGCATGGTGCTCACCAGATGTTTTGGATTACAATCACCACCAGCTCCAGCCGCCAGTTCTCAGGGGTGATGGAAGTTGTAGTCTGAAATATCTGCGAGACACCATGCTGGCTTGGGTCTCCATTCAGTTTTTGAACTTGTTCCTTGCATTTATTTATCTGATTGGTTGGGATAGCAAATTACCACCTCTTCCCATCCATTAAAAATAGCTTGCTGGAAATGACAACCTCCAAAATATTTTATTTTTAAATGTGGGAGGTTTTACTTGTTCCATGTAATTAGAGGGACCAAAACTTACTGGTTTGCAGCATCATTTGAATGGAGTTCTGCTTGGGATGCTGGTGGATAGAGAGACGAGAAGCCTTTTCACTGATTTTTATTTCCGTATGCCACTCCTGCCCCCCAGCACCACCTCCCATTGTTCTGGAGTGTCCCTCAGCCTTCAGAAGCAGATTTATTTCAGTGAGGTAATAGAGGGCCGCAAAGGGCAGGGGAATAAATGAAACTAGCCTACTCCCCAGTTCTGCCAGTGGGGTTCCTTTACTGTAGAAGCCTTTTGCAGATGAAAGGAACTCTTTTGGTTGTGGAAAGCAAATCCAACCCATTGATACTTACTGGCCATAAGATCACTATTAGTTCATTTCCTTTTTTAAAAAGAAACCCCACATTGATCTCTGGATGAAACACAGACAGTTATATAAAACAAATGCTGAATATTTTCTTTTTTTACTGAGGGCTTAATAGTCTGGTAAACGCTAGTCTGACAAGTTCAAGAGGCATGCTGAATACATGCATTAGTTTCTCATTGTAACCTACGTAAGTCATCTACCAACATACTTTTCACGGAAATGGAAGCTATTTCCCTTTGACATCCCTTGTAGTTATCCTAGAAATGTCCTCCCTCATCACTATAGATGAAATAGTCTGGCATAACAATATACATGGTACATATCCCAAAATGTGTGTGACTTTTTATTTATGTCTTACCACCACACCAAATATATTGGGGATTGTTGGGTTTTGTTTTGTTTTTGCTCAAAAGATGAGAAAGAAACAAGTCAACTGGAAAATTAATTTCTCATTCAAATGTGTGTCATTCAATAAACATAATTTTTGAAAGCAGGCATGATGATCATTCCAAGCATGGCTTCTGTGTTGCCTTATTATATTCCACAATGTTAAAACTCAATTTGTGTCATCCTACTTCAGTTAAACTCAGGGAAAATGCACTTCACTTGACAGTTACTCAGATTTCCCCCTGGAACTCATCGGGGCAAAGCAGCTGTCAAATAAGACACCCAACGAACTTCATTATGGTGGGAAGACACATACTAATATGCCTGGCTGGTTGGCATGTGATGGATTCCAGCATTTTTAACAGTTAACAAATTTTCCTACTTGCCATGGGAGTGGAATTAACAATTAGTGCGTATATATATGTATGTGTATATATATATATAGAGAGAGAGCGAGCTGCTTTATAAATCATATGGATCCTTCTAAATGGTTACTGGCAATTTGTATGGTCTATCGATATCTGTGTATGTAATATATCTGAAACTATCATTTTAACAGCATTAACTCTGCCAACATTGACTTGATGAAAATAGCTAAGTTTGAAGTAGCTTATTGATTTACAAGTACTCCTTTGTTTTATGTAGCTCATGCAAAAAATCCATAGAGCACAATATGCACCTGGGTACAAATTTATGCATGCATTTTGTCTGGGTTGGTGAGGGCTAATACAGGTGGCGCTGTGGGTTAAACCACAGAGCCTAGGACTTGCCGATCAGAAGGTCGGTGGTTCAAATCCCTGCGGCAGGATGAGCTCCTGTTGCTCAGTCCCTGCTCCTGCCAACCTAGCAGTTCGAAAGCACGTCAAAGTGCAAGTAGATAAATAGGTACCGCTCCAGCAGGAAGGTAAACGGTGTTTCTGTGCTCTGCTCTGGTTCGCCAGAAGTGGCTTAGTCATGCTGGCCACATGACCCGGAAGCTGTACGCCGGCTCCTTCGGCCAGTAAAGCGAGATGAGCGCCGCAACCCCAGAGTCGTCCACGACTGGACCTAATGGTCAGGGGTCTCCCTCACCACAACCGAAGCTACACATACAGAGATCCATGATGGAAGAGTGCACAGCCCAAGTAATGGCAGTGGGCTTTGAGTGAGATTCGGGCAAGCATCTGCCCACCCATGTCTAACAAATATTTGGTGTGGTCAGAACAGAATGATCACTTTGGTTTTGAGAAGGGAAGAAGCGTGGATGTTACTGACTGGAGGCCTGCTCTTTCTAACCCCTTTATTAAGTGATCACCATTGACACCATCTGTTTAATGGCCACAGCACAGATGTTTTTTTTATGGGCACCTGTGACATCGTAGCAAATGTAGCGTTGTGAGGCCGTTAACAAAATCACATGGTTCAGAAGTCAAATGGCAGTAAGAACAACTGAGAGTTCTTCTTTGCAGTGACAGCAAAGAAAAAAGAAAATGGTGCCGAGAAGCAACAAGAACAAAGCGAACGAAAGGGTGCTAAATAACACCAAAAACAATGAAAACATATTCTCAGCAAGTTGCCTGGAAATGGTAGCCGTGGAAGCAAACATGAAACTGTAAGTAGTTTGAAGTAGTGCTGGTGTGTGTGTGTGTGTGTGTGTGTGTGTGTGTGTGTGTGAGTCAAATGGGACTTCCATTAATCAGGTGTTGGTATGTTGCTTCCTGTGCTACTAGAGCTCTGGTTTCACTACAAGCCTGACGGACCGAAGTTTGCAGTTTGTGGGGGATATCATCTGGACCATAGATGGGGAAACTGTAGCTGCCATCAGCCCCAACCAGAATTGCCAGCATCTGGAGGGCCACACATTTCACAACCTGGATCTAGACTGCAGTACCAACCTGGCTGAGCATTGTCAGCTGACCCTAAGGATCAATACCTGTCCACCATAAATCTACAGACCCAAAGCTTGCACCTTAGTCCAAGCAACTTGTACTCGGTGCAAGGGGACAATCTATGTTCCTTTCCCCTTTTTGTGATGGTTGCCTTGGATCAGGATCTTGCCTGGCTTTGACTACACATTCACCTCCTGCCCCTCTGATGCTTGTTTGATGCTTTGGAACTTGCCAGCTTTGGACCACACAC